CAATAGTTACAAAACATTTACATAAGTGGAGTTCCCAAGACCTGATATATATTGCTTCCGCACTTGTAAGCCCCATATTTTATACTCTGATTGTGTGTGATTTTGTAAGTCGGCCTTCGGTAATCTCGGATTACTGGCCATCACGGCACCAAACTACTAGGGGCGGTTTGGGGGCGTGACAAGCCCAGTGAATAATAACAGAGTAAAGGATTTAATGAATGATGTCCATCACCGAGTTAGAAATCAGATTCTTATCAGAAACAGAGTCTTACGCATATTCAGATTCCAAATCAAAAATAGACTTATAATCGTTTTCATAATCAGATTTTTGCATATAGTCACACGTGGTACATCTCTTAGCGTTAACAAATCCGATGGCCCATAAAGGGACAGCCTTGAAGGCATTCTGATGACTCATGTGCACAGAGACGTTTCTAATGACCCATGAAGGGACCTGATGACCCATAAAGGGACGCATATCATATGATGCTAAGGATGCCACGAATAACTTTCAGAATCTTGAACAACCATTCATTCATTTCAAACATAGCATGGCATTTCAGAGAACTAATTACTTCGTATCATAATATTCAGAAAATACTTAACATTACACATAACTTTACAAAGTTATTACTCACAGATGATTGGTAGCCCTAACAAGATGGTAAGGCGGCCCTTCACTTATTCTGAGGCGCGTGACCTACATGAACACACATACGAACACACACTTGAAACACACGTTAGAATTGTACATAACTTACGTCGTTTGCTCTTAGCGTGTTTCTAACCCTTAATCCTTATTATGGAGTCTTAAACATGGCTTAGAAATGCCTAGGATGGAATGAAGATGCAAGAATGCGTTGGAAAACATTTATCAAGATTTGCTAAAAATACGGTCCACGCTCGAGCGTGTCTTTCCTTGCTCGAGCGTACTATAAACTCATGAAAAAGTACTTGATGCATGATTTTCACGCTCGACGGGGGCTCGACCAACGCTCGAGCGTGAGACTTAGACCCTCGCTCGAGCGTAGATTTCCCCGCTCGAGCGGACTGTAAAACTCACAAACTTCTGGGTACATGCATTTCACGCTCGAGCGTATACTTTCACGCTCGAGCGGAGTGCACGTACTCAGAGTTCACGCTCGAGCGTAAAGCCCCACGCTCGAGCGTGGATCAAATTTCTGGAAATTCCAGATTTGATCACCAAGCTCAAATTCGACCTTTGAAGCATCAAACTCAATTTTCTGGGCCCAAAACTTTGGAAAACACTTAATAACTCATAGAACATCACGTTTAAAAGATCATTTCAAGAAATCATGGCCCAAAAGGATATCAATTTTGCACAACTCAACTTAAATTCAAAATCAATTTATGAACATCACATGCAAGTACATTTTTGAGCTAAGGCTCTTCAAAACATGATCAAATGCTACCAAATCACATGAAACTCATTGTGTTTCCAAAATCAGAATAGACTCAACACATGCATGAAGGGATTCTTGAAATAAATCTCTAAAATGCCATGAAACATGCATGCATGCATGAATTCATTCTTAATTCTCAACCTTTAATTCAATTCACATGTTAATTCGCCTACATAACTGATTTCAAGCATTAATCAAACTAAATTACAAGGCTAGAGACTAACATTCTTACCTAAAGTTCTCAATTCCTTATGGTTAGAGATGTTCGTGAGCAAACCACCAAGGTCTCCTAGCAATTTCTCCTAATCCTCAAGCTTGATTCCAATTCCTTCCCTCTTTCACTCTCTCCCACGTTTTCTTCCTCTCATAGCTCAAGTGTGATTAAGAATGACTAAAGGAGCAGGTGAGTGGGGCTCAATTAGCCAAATAAGTGGTAATGGTTCACAAATAAACAAATGTCATTATTTTAATCAAATTTAATCATTCCGAACCAAATTTTAATTAAACCTACCATAAAATTCTATAAATTCTAACTAGTACATAAATCAAATCAATTTCTGATTCGAATGTCGATAAGGCTTTCAATTCGCAAACCGAAACTAAATCGTGAACAGATCTTTCTACGCCAAACAGATATAAACACAATAATGCAACACACACACATGCATTTTAATTCAAGATTCAACTAAATTTCTAATTAGGCATAATTAATCATGGATTAACGTTAATCAGAGGTTGGGGTTGTTACAATTTTCCCCCTTAAAAGAGTTTAGTCCTCCAAACTTGAATTACCTTCGTTTTGGGACAACATTGGGTCCAATGGGAATAAATTCAGATATCTTTTCATCATGTCTTTTTCGATCTCCCAGGTTGCATAGTTTCCTCTGTGGTTTTGCCAATCAACTTTTACTAACAGTATTTCCTTGTTTCTCAACCTTTTGATCCTGCGGTTCACAATCTGGATAGGTCTTTCCTCGTAGGTGTAATCATCTTTCAAAAGTACGTGTGTTGGCTCAATGACATAGAGTGGATCTCTCAAATACTCTCGAAGCATCGATACATGAAACACATTGTACATATGTTCCATCACTGGAGGTAAGGCTACCCGATACGACCCTGGATTGATCTTTTCAAGGACCTCATAAGGTCCAACATACCTTGGCGCCAATTTGCCCTTAACACCAAACCGAGTTTGACCCTTCATTGGTGTCACTTTAATGAACACATGGTCCCCAACTTTGTATTCCCTGTCTCTTCTTCAAACATCAATATAGCTCTTCTGCCGACTCTGTGCAATCTTTAGACGTTGCTGGATCAGTTTCACTTTCTCGGTTGTTTCTTGCACAAGTTCTGGTCCCAACAAAGGTCTATCACCTACTTCAGCCCAACATATTAGAGAACGACATTTTCTTCCATACAAAGCTTCGTAAGGAGCCATTTCAATGCTTGAATGATAACTGTTGTTATACACAAATTCAGCTAATGGAAAATAGGTCTCCCAATTCCCTTGGAAGTCTAACACAAACATTCTGAGCATATCCTCTAAAGTTTGGTTAGTTCGTTCAGTTCGTCCATCTGTCTGTGGGTGATAGGCACTACTCAATCTCAGTTCAGTCCCCAAAACCTGTTGTAAACTCTACCAAAATCTTGATACAAACTTTGAGTCCCTGTCAGACACGATAGATACTGGCACTCCATGCAATCTCACAATTTCAGTTATATAAATATTGGCCAATTTATCCGCATTATAAATAGTTTTGACGGGCAGAAAATGGGCAAACTTAGTTAAACGGTCAACTATAACCCAAATAGAGTCCATACCTCGGGAAGAACGAGGCAATCCAACAATGAAGTCCATAGTAATGTGCTCTCATTTCCATTCTGGTATTGGGAGTGGTTGTAGCAACCCAGCGGGTCATTGATGTTCAGCTTTAACCTGTTGACAATGTAGGCACCTAGCCACAAAATCAGCAATACTCTTCTTCATTCCAGGCCACCAAAAATTTTGTCTAAAATTGTGATACATTTTCGTGTTCCCCGGGTGCATAGCAACCTTATCACTGTGTGCTTCGATCATTACACGTTTTCTCAAATCACAGCAATCGGGTACACAAAGACGATTTTGAAATTTCAGTACATCATTCTCAAACACAAATCCTGGCCTCGGCGTTGACTCAAACTCCTCTATAATCTTTTTCAAGTATTCATCTTCACACTGTTTCTGTTTGATCTCGTCAAGAATTGTAGGTTGAGCGAAAATAGTAGTTAACAGCCCATCTTGTTCTAGATCATTCAGCAATTCCTTTCGGTTGGATAACAGACATGACAAACTTCCCATTGATTTTCGGCTCAAGGCATCTGCTACGGTATTAGCTTTCCTTGGGTGGTACAAGATCTGCAAATCATAATCTTTGATTAGCTCTAACCATCACCTCTGTCTCATGTTCAATTCCTTTTGGGTGAAGAAGTATTTCAAGCTCTTATGATCAGTATACACCTCACAAGTTATCCCATACAAGTAGTGATGCCAAATTTTCAAAGCAAACACTACAGCTGCCAATTCGAGATCATGCATCGGGTAGTTCTTTTCATGAGATCGGAGTTGTCGGAAAGCATAGGCAATCACTTTTCCGTTTTGCATCAATACACACCCCAAGCCTTTGTGAGAAGCATCACTGTAGACTTGAAACCCATCAGTACCGTTGGGCAAAGCTAAAATTGGTGCAGTCACTAACCTGGTTTTCAATTCTTGAAAGGCTGTCTCTCTTTGTTTATTCCAGTCAAGTAGCACATTTTTCTGGGTTAACTGGGTCAACGGCATAGCAAGCTTGGAAAAGTCTTTCACAAATCTTCAGTTGTAACCTGCAAGTCCCAAAAAAATTCTAACTACTGTTACGTTCATCGGTCTAGGCCAATCCACAATAGCTTCAATCTTCTGAGGGTCAACAGAAACACCATCCTCATTGATCACATGTCCCAAAAATGCTACATTGTCAAGCCAGAATTCACATTTGGACAATTTAGCATAAGTTTCTTTTCTCTCAAAATCTGCAAAGTAGTTCTCAGATGGTTCCCATGTTCTTCCCTGTCTTTAGAATAAATCAGAATGTCATCAATGAACACGACAATGAATTCATCAAGATATTGTTTGAAAACCCTATTCATTAGGTCCATAAAAGCTGCAGGTGCGTTTGTCACTCCAAAAGGCATTACCAGGAATTCATAATGTCCATATCTAGTTCTGAATCCAGTTTTCTCTACGTCTTCTGCTTTAACGTTTAACTGATGATAACCGGACCTAAGATCAATTTTAGAGAAAACTTTAGCTCCTTGGAGTTGATCAAACAAATCATCTATTCGAGGTAAGGGATATTTGTTCTTAATAGTCACTTTGTTCAATTCTTGGTAGTCTATACACAACCTCAAAGATCTATCCTTCTTTTTGACAAACAAAACTGGAGCACCCCAAGGTAAAGTGCTAGGACGGATAAATTTCTTATTTAACAGCTCCTGAAGTTGAGTTTTTAATTCTTTTAATTCTGAGGTAGACATTCTATAGGGGGTCTTGGAAATAGGTTATGTCCCCAAAAACACCTCAACAGTGAATTCGATTTCTCTATCCACTAAGTCCCCAGGTAAGTCATTCGGAAACACATCGGGAAATTCATAAGCAACAGGGATAGTTTCTACATTAGTTCCGTCAGATGACGCAGTCAGTATACAACACAAGTAACCCCTACATCACTTCCTAAGCAGTTTTCTGGCTTTCAAAGCTGAAATTAGATATGGGGGAGGAACTACCCCATTCCCAATAAAAGTAAATTCAGGCATACCCAGTGGTCTAAACACAACAGATTTACTTGCGCAGTCAATGGTAGCACAGTATTTAGTCAACCAATCCATTCCCAAAATACAATCAAAGTGGTCAATGTTTAAGGGCAATAAGTCAACATATAACATCATATCGCCAATCATAATATCACATGTCGGATAAACATGAGTGCACATCATAGAATCCCCAGTCGGCGTAGATACAGATAACCCATATGTCATAAGATTTAATGGTCTAGTCAATTTTTGAGAGAAAGCATGCGATACAAAGGAATGTGTAGAACCAGAATCTATCAATACACATGCATCTTGAGAACATACAGAGAGTGTACCTGATACCATGGTATAGGTGTTTGGTACATCACCAGGCACTAAGGCGAACACTTGACCCTGTCTCAGAGGCTTTTTCCCAGTATTGGCCCTCGTATTCGTCTTGGATGCAGAAGCGGATCCGGCTGAGCTTGCTGCTGGTTGGTTGGTATTTTCGAACCTGATAGGACAATCCTTCATCATATGACCAATCTTTCCACATCTAAAACAGGCACCCAAAGCTCGATAACAATCCCCCCTGTGTTTCCTACCACATTCCGAGCAAGTCGACATAGCACCACTACTTTGGTTTGAGCTACTATAAGACCATGTGTTCCGCCTCTTATTCCCAGAAAATGAACGACCCTTTTTGAAACTGTTTCCATATCTTTTCTCCGTCCAATTAGTTCGTGGGACGAGAGTTTGTTTCTTCGCTGTTAGAATGGACTCTGCCATTAATGCCCTATCCAAAACATTCACGTACGTGGGTAGGTTCAAGACTCCCACCCTATCCAGTATGTCCAGATCCAATCCACCCTCAAACTTGCGAGCCTTCTTGTAGTCTGTGTCCACCATGTGAGGAGCAAACCTAGCCAACTCAGTAAACTTAGCCTCGTACTCGGCTACAGACATTCTGCCTTGTTTGAGTTCTTGGAATTCTGAAACCTTCCGGTCTCGGAAGCACTTTGGAAAGTACTTGTCATAGAAAATTGTATTGAATTGAGTCCACGTCATATTCTCGTGGCCATTTCGAATCAGTAACCACCACCTTTAGGCTTCATCCTTTAGAGTATAGGTGGCTAGGAGGACTTTCTAGACTTTAGAACAAGGGAACACCTCATATAGTTTCTTCATTTCAAATAACCACGCCTCTGCTTTCAACGGTTCAATTCCACCATAGAATGTTGGCGGTTTCATTTTCATGAACTTCTGTGTCAAGTTGATGATGTCACCGGTGCCCATTTCAACTTGAGCTGGCAGGGGTGGAGGTGGTAAAGGTTGTTGCCTCTGTTGTTGCGTTACCACTTCGGTTAGGGTTGCAAGCATTTGTTCCATTCTATTCATTTGGGCATCAGAGAACCATGCCGTGTCATCATTCCTTGCATTGTCCATTTGCTATAGGTAAACAAAACTTTATGTATTCAAATTCACATGTTTATACTTGAACTTATGCTTTCACTTTCGAACAATACACATAAACATGCAGATGGAATGCCCCTACTTCTTACTAGGACTTCCTAAGCTCATATGGACCTGTGTGTGCGGTAGAACACGTGCTCTGATACCACTCTGTCACGGCCCAACCCCGCCCCTGTAGGTTTAGCATTGTAACCGGCCAGTAATCCGTGAATTACCAAAGGCCTCTGAACAGATAAGCACAAGATAAGGGGCTGCAGAAGCAATTATACAAAATATATAGGGTCCAATGAGCTGTGATGACATACATGGGACAGAAGATTTCGAAACTTATATATATATGCACAAGCGTGTCGGTCAGAGGACCTCAAAAGTTACAAAACATTTACATAAGTGGAGTTCCCAAGACCTGACTTTACAAACATTCAAAAACTAGCATAAGTACAAACACAGTCATGCAACTAGACTTCGATCGGAACCTCTTCGGGAGGCACAACGGTTGGCTGACAAAAACAAAAATGAAGGCCGTCAACTCTAGCCCTGGTCGGACGCCGGCTCACCTACATACATAATATAAACTATGAGCTAAAGCCCAGTGAATAATAACAGAGTAAAGGATTTAACGAATGATGTCCATCACCGAGTTAGAAATCAGATTCTTATCAGAAACAGAGTCTTATGCATATTCAGATTCCAAATCAAAAACAAACTTATAATCATTTTCATAATCAGATTTTTGCATATAGTCACACGTGCATCCCTTAGCGTTAACAAATCCGATGGCCCATAAAGGGACAGCCTTGAAGGCATTCTGATGACTCATATGCACAGAGACGTTTCTGATGACCCATGAAGGGACCTGATGACCCATAAAGGGACCTAATGACCCATAAAGGAATGCATATCATATGATGCTAAGAATGCCATGAATAACTTTCAGAATCTTGGACAACCATTCATTCATTTCAAACATAGCATGGCATTTCAGAGAACTAATTACTTCGTATCATAATATTCAGAAAATACTTAACACTAAACATAACTTTACAAAGTTATTACTCACAGATGATTGGTAGCCCTAACTAGATGGTAAGGCGACCCTTCACTTGTTCTGAGGCGCGTGACCTACATGAACACATATACGAACACACACTTGAAACACACATTCGAATTGTACATAACTTACGTCGTTTGCTCTTAGTGTGTTTCTAACCCTTAATCCTTATTGTGGAGTCTTAAACATGGCTTAAAAATGCCTAGGATGGAATGAGGGTGCAAGAATGCATTGGAAAACATTTATCAAGATTTGCTGAAAATACGGTCCACGCTCGAGCGTGTCTTTCCTCGCTCAAGCGGACATGCTGACAAAGAAGCTTTGCTCGAGCGTGAATTTCCTCGCTTGATCGTACTATAAACTCATGAAAAAGTACTGGATGCATGATTTTCACGCTCGACGGGCGCTCGACCAACGCTCGAGCGTGGGACTCAGACCCTCGCTCGAGCGGACTGTAAAACCCACAAACTTCTGGGTACATGCATTTCATGCTCGAGCGTATACTTCCACGCTTGAGCGGAGTGCACGTACTCAGAGTTCACGCTCGAGCATGGATCAAATTTCTAGAAATTCCAGATTTGATCACCAAGCTCAAATTCGACCTTTGAAGCATCAAACTCAATTTTCTGGGCCCAAAACTTTGGAAAACACTTAATAACTCATAGAACATCATGTTTAAAAGATCATTTCAAGAAATCATGGCCCAAAAGGATATCAATTTTGCACAACTCAACTTAAATTCAAAATCAATTTATGAACATCACATGCAAGTACATTTTTTGAGCTAAGGCTCTTCAAAACATGATCAAATGCTACCAAATCACATGAAACTCATTGTGTTTCCAAAATCAGAATAGACTCAACACATGCATGAAGGAATTCTTGAAATAAATCTCTAAAATGCCATGAAACATGCATGCATGCATGAATTCATTCTTAATTCCCAACCTTTAATTCAATTCACATGTTAATTCGCCTACATAACTGATTTCAAGCATTAATCAAACTAAATTACAAGGCTAGAGACTAACATTCTTACCTAAAGTTCTCAATTCCTTACGGTTAGAGATGTTCTTGAGCAAACCACCAAGGCCTCCTAGCAATTTCTCCTAATCCTCAAGCTTGATTCCAATTCCTTCCCTCTTTCACTCTCTCCCACGTTTTCTTCCTCTCAAAGCTCAAGTGTGATTAAGAATGACTAAAGGAGGAGGTGAGTGGGGCTCAATTAGTCTAATAAGTGGTAATGGTTCACAAATAAACAAATGTCCTTATTTTAATCAAATTTAATCGTTCTGAACCGAATTTTAATTAAACCTACCATAAAATTCTATAAATTCTAACTAGTACATAAATCAAGTCAATTTCTGATTCGAATGCCGATAAGGCTTTCAATTTGCAAACCGAAACTAAATCGTGAACAGATCTTTCTACGCCCAACAGATATAAACACAACAATGCAACACACACACATGCATTTTAATTCAAGATTCAACTAAATTTCTAATTAGGCATAATTAATCATGGATTAGCTTTAATCAGAGGTTGGGGTTATTACAAATAAACTGAATTTCCATGGGATTTGGAGGATCATGCATAATAGCCTCACTTCACAATTTCTTCAGGATTGGCACCATAAGCAATCCAGAGTGCAAAACATCAGCAAACACAATATTCTTTGAAAAAATAGTTGTGCAACTTGCTTTCTGGATGTTTAGTTCTAGGCTTTTATTTGCACCTTTTTTACATGCCAAAAAATTAAGGTGTGACATATCTGAGGGTGTCACATGGATTAAATAACACGTATTAACCCCTCTACTGGAAATTAGAAGATGCCATCACTATCATGCATCACTCTATCCAACTAGGAAGTCCTTCAGCAACACTCTTGTTGCTGGGAACTCCTTCAAATGCATTTGTTCTGAACTTATGACAACAGAACATTTCAATGCCCTGCTAGCAAGATGGACCACAAACTTAATTTCCAAGGAATAGACAATCATAAGAAGAATCACTTTAATGGAAAAACCACCCACATCCCTAATTAGATGGGTTTGGTAGAGGGGGGTTGCAAGTTTAGGAAGGATCAAATGAGATCCTACCCCTACCCCATGCCACACCTGTTATATAGATATTTGCATAGCTGTTCCAACAATTTTGAAGTTATTTTTCAACAATTATTAAAAACCTAGGTTCAATTACTAATAAGGATGGTGAGGTTGGAGATGATGTGATAAATAGAATAAAAGTAAGTTGGCTCAAGTGTGGCAGAGTGTGTCTATCATAGTGATCGATGAATACCAAAAAAATTGAAATATCAACTGTTGGGCAATAAAAAATAATACATTCATAAAGTGAGTGTAGTTAAAATGAAAATTGTTTAAATAGATGTGTGGTAAGATCAGGAAAGATAGATTGTATGTCTCCTGCCTGATCTATTGGTAGTCTTACTTCAATTACTTATTTATAGTGAATTTACACATCTTTTATAATGAGCTTGGAAACTGGCAAATTTATAACTGCCAGATTAGTGATACCTTCAGAGCCCAGGAGGTGTGAAACCTCCTTATCTTATTTTAAGCAGCATAAATTGCCTTTTTCTTTGCTGCTACAATGAAACCTTCAAATTAGAAGAACCTTTCCTCTTTGGCTTTGAAGCTACAATTTCAAAGAGTACTTACCAATAACTAAAAAGTGTAGCATTGGGGTTCGTAATTGATAGGACCTCATTGGTAAGTGCTACAAGATCTCATGTTGAGCCAAAGCTCATAAGGGATGCCATTCGGCAATGCCAATAAAGACTTTTCATAAAATCTAGAAATAAATGTATATTTCTAAAATGGTAGAAGTAACACAAATTGAAGATAAGTTGAGGGAAAACAAGCTAAGATAGTTTGATCATGTACGATGCAGAACTATAGATGGTAACAATAAAGAAGAGTCATATGACCACCATAAATAGAAATGGTAGGGGGAGGGTAGACCTAAATAGACAAAGTATGCGGTAGTAAAAAAAAAATTATTTTATTTAATTTAGTTGAGCATATAGCCCTTGACAGAACAGAATAGCAAAAAAATGATTCATGTATCCAACCCCACTTGATTGGGACATTAGACTTAGTTTGGTTTGGTTTGCAAGTATTGGTGAGGCATTCATAACCCTTTATTTGCATTGACATAATGATGAGGGTGTTTATAAACACACACAAAATTTCAGTTAAACATTAGGATAGGACAACATACTTGCTTATCTATTGATAAGGAATCTGCATTGAGCATCGTTGTTACTACTTAAAGGACCTTTTTCGTTCCCCCCTCCCCTCCTCCCCCTCGCCAACCACGAGTAATGAACAGGTTATGCATAAACAAAGAAAAACGACATATTGCTGCATCGCAGCTGCACCTTAAGAGAACTTGCAAACCATCTTTATTCTAATTCTCCAAGCACAGCAGCTACTTCAAGCCATTTGTGCAGTGTGCATCAAACACACAAAAATGAAGTATAATAGAAGAAAGTGTAATGGTCACAAGGGATGCATACCTTAGT